AATAAAAAATAATTATTGAAAACAGATATATAAAAAGCATAAATACCTGTTTTAACTTGATTTGTCTTTGTATATTTTTTATTATATTGAGTTCCTTTTCCAATTAATGGATAAAACATAGCCGGCATTCTCTCAAAACACTTAAGCATTGGAGTGGGTACTATTTTATCCAATGGGATCCAAGGAGGATTAGCTAAAGTATGGCACTGTTCAGTGTAAACTGTATGTAAATCAAACGTATTTTTCCTATAAATAAGAATTAAATAAATAAAAGCGATATTAGTAGCTATTTCCAGTTAAATTATTATATCAGCGTATTTTATCACGTATATTTACCCAGGGCTTTCAACTTCTTTATAAATAATTGCAAACGCCCCGTGTCTTATAGTGTGCCTCATAATATAACGTCCTGGAGATAAATTGGAAAATGACTGAATAACATTGTGTAAAACTGTTAAAGAATCTTCAACTTTTATGTTATAGAGGCGTTTGATTTCATTATTTATAGACATCGCTGTGCGTTGTTCTATTTGTAATACTTCTGACTTTGTTGCAGATATTCGAACTAAAATATAGAAATAGAATATATGAACCTGTTTCATAATACTGTTCTTAATATATTTTACTCCATCAAAATATGCTTTGTGTTTGATATATGTATGTTAATATATTGTAAATTATTTACCTCTTGCAAGAAATGTATGCGGTCTAAATATTAAAGATATCCATTGTTTTAATGCCTCTTCTAATGTTACAGCTTCAGCACCCAAGTCAGCTTGATATTCCAATTTTGGTGCTAATATTAATAATTTTTGCATGTTGTTTGGTAAAATCTACAAACATGACAAACTATATTTGTATATTATACTTATAGGTGTTTCTCCCTACACTTTACAAACCTGAAATCCATCTGTTTTTGTTCTAACTAATATTTTATACTCTTTAATAACGTTTTTCATTAATTCATTTTGTTCTGAAGATTGTGGTCCAATGGAAAACAGTTTATATGATACATTGTCTTTCACAGTCGTTGCACTATTAGCTTTCTCACCTAATTTATAGAATTCATTACTCTCTAGTCTTTACATTTTTAATTCAATACTTAATTTATAGATTTATATCTTTTTAAAAATAAAATAATTTTAAATGTTCTTACTTTCAGTGCTTGTAGAATTGGAAATATCAGAGTTTGCAATTTTATACGAAGATAGTTCACTACTTAAATTTTCATATTCAGAAGTATTTGGTTCAATTTTTATATCTTCTTGATCTATACATTTTTCGATATCCTTGTCTTTTTCTATCACATTTAAATGTGAATCATAACTAGTGTGCGATAAAGCACCATCATATTCTTCTTCCAGTTTGATAAGTTCTTTAGAAGTTACATCATCAAATATATTATCATCGCACCTTTCACTATAGAAACATATTTAACATCACTCTTAGAATATTATAAAATATAAGTGATTTGTAGTGAACGATCCATTATTTTACCTCTGTAAAGTACGTTCTTCTGCTCGAATAAGACAATATTTAAGAATATACTTATATACCCAGTTATTTTTTGCAGGTATTGTGTTTGTTGGTGGTGGCCCTGGTTTATCTATATAGATAACATTTCTATCATTATGCTTTTTTATAACTACTGGTAAAATCCATGAATTCGAATAACTGGGTCCGATATTATTCACTAAACAGTTAAGACCACTGGATGAAATCACTATATCCACATCATTACTTTCAGCCAATTTTTGACAATTTATATCTTCACTTACTGATAATTTACTAGAAATTAATGATTTATCACAATCATAGCTTGTATGAGGGAACCTCTGTTTTAGTTGATAAGAATTTACACGTAAATACTTTGGTTTCATAAGAGTTGGTAATGCAATTTCTGACAGCTGACCCTATATAACAAAAATTTATATTAAATTCAACAAATAAATAAAACAAAATATCTAGAGAAAGATAATTCATTCTACTTAAATTGTATTTTTAATTTTTAACGTTATTATTTTCTTAGAAAAAATATATTTTCTAAATCATTTCTTACAATATATCTTCAAATAAATTTATTTATTAAAATTTATTATTCGAAGTCAAATAATTGTATAAGAAATTCCCCTATGTAAAATTAACTTTGTAATGTGGTAACCTTTTAAAATATTTTAATATTTTTAAACATAATATTCACCATTTGTAAACAAACAGAAATAAATTTTATTTCAACATTTTTATCTGCTACAAATGGTACGTTTGTTACTTCAGCATAATACCTAGGAAGTTTATGAATGTATTGCATCTTCAATTTCCAACAGAAATTTATGTAATCTTTACACATAAGTGACAATGATCTTTCATGCCACTTGCTTTTTGCGAATTCTAAAAATTCATCTTGCTCCTGAGATATTATTTTTTGTAATTCCTATAAAAACAACAGAAAAATTCGCATATATATATACATATAAATATTATAATTCTTAATATTGATTGAATTGTAATTTGCAGTAATGTTTATGTAAAAATTTGTAGAAAAATTATAATATGAAATATAATTTAACAATTCTTGATGTAATATTGATTACAAAATTATGTTTACCATATATTTTATTAGTTCTTCTCTTTCTGCTTGAGTTATTTTTGGTTTATCTGATTCTGAAAATCTTAATAAAACTCTTAAACACATTGCTTGTTCTTCTTTATTTAATTTAGACATTCTAGGAAACTTAAAGGTTGATTTCATAATACCAGGAACATATTGCTTTTTTGTTTTTGTTTCTTTGATTTCAACTTCTTTTTCATTTCCACTGTTTTCATCATTCTCATTTTTATCTTGTTCGTTTAATTCTACATCTATATCTTCCATGAATTTACCTTTAATTTCTTTATAATCATCTTCGATATTTTTAAATGGATCAGTAAAATTTCCAGTCATAATTCTATACATAACACTTTCATTCTCTAATCTTTCTTCGTTGATAAAAGTATTGTCTATCAGATCTTCCAATGGAGGATTCCTAATAAATAAAATGTTATGAACCAAAAAACAATATGTATTAGTTGAAAATAAAAAATAATATAATGATATCCATTTTATAAATCATTTAATTATGTGACCATAAGGTAGCTGGCCATTCATTACTATTAAATTTTACAATTATAAGTTATAATTATCTCATTTATTACTAAATAAATACAACTCAAAGTTAATCTTAATTTAACTTATTTAACCCAAACCCTTAGAAAATGCGTAATATTAAATATATAATGATAAAATATTTTCGTGTGTATCTTGGAAAGAAAAAGCAAGCAACAATAACACATATAAAAGAAAGTTATTTATTATCCAAGCATCAACTGCAAACTCGTATTAAAAAGATAATTTGAGTTAAACTATATATAGAATAAACTAATTAATACTTACCAATCGATATTTAAAAATCTATTCATAATTATAAAACTTAGAGAACACTTAAAAAACTATAACATTTTTAAATACTGTATAAAATCTCATTCCACTACTTTTTTTTACATAACACACAATACACCCTAAGAGATATGAGAATAGACTATTCTAATCAGTATATATAGCAAGGTAGAGGTATCTCTAGAAGAACGATAAAGGTGTCGTGCGGCAACTGAAAACATAAATTATTTCAACATAAATTTTACTTCTGCACAAAATATTCCTAGATACAAAAATAATACTTCTATAACATTATCCTTTATGTTGCAGAATTCTAAAAGTATATTCATGTACCGTCAAGTGCTGGGAAGCTAATACTCTCGTTTGATTGGTTAGATTCAGTTCTGGTTATATGATTCACTAAGGCACTTACGCACACCAATCAAATAGCACAACAAATAGCGTGAGGTTATGTCCTATGATATCATGAGTACCAGCTTTCCAGCACTTAACGGTACTAACATTCTTCATTACATTGGAGTTTTTCAACTATTTTCATTGAATACAATGTCATATGTATTGAGAATTGATTTCCAAAAAGCAGTGAATCTTTTTAAAAATTACGTTTATAGTAATAGCACTTAGAACTGTATGTACACAATATTTATATTTTAAGAAAAGATAAAAATTTGTATCTGTATAAATCTATTATTCCACATGAACATAGGTTAATTAAATAGTTTTGTGGAAACTATTGGATTTTTTAAAATGTATAACGCAGTTCGATGTATCACTATTATGAGAAAGTGTAATATCAATAGTATGATTTATTCGATTCAATATAAAATCATCAACTCAGTATTTGCATATTTGAAACCAACATGTTATAACAACTGTAATATATCAATAGTACGACCTTACTCAGGATCACCCAGTTCTAAAGAAGTGACCAACTATTATAAAGAAAAGAATAAAGAGAAATTACAGCAACTTCTTAAAGATCCTAACAAGTTAAAGATATATAATAAATTGAAACTAGAGTTAGAGCAGCTTCAACATACACATGGTGCAGTGCCGAGTGAGATAACTGAACTGGACTGGATAAAGTTAATTTCAGCATCTACTAAAGCACAAAGAAGGTTGTACTCCGTTAAATTTTACATTACAAATTTCTCGTAATGAACAACTCATTATACAAATGTATTTTTTCTTATAATTGTTTAGAAAATGTCTTATGTATCGATGGAAAACTGAAATGTCAAAACTAAATGAGGAAAAGAAGAAAGAATTAAAAAATTATGTATCAACGCAAAGATATTTATCAATTAAGAAGAAGGAAGAAGAAAATGTAAATCATAGGATCTATGGATTAAATCGTAATGCATTATTCTTACGTATAAGTCGAACTGCAATGAATAGTTTCTACCATAAAAGGTTACTTAATGCCATGTTATTTGATGAAGCAAAAATAGTGTTCGATCTTGGTTATGATGAACATATGACAACAGTTGAAGCCCAGAATTGTGGAAAGCAATTAATAATGTCATTTTCATTAAATCGATTCCACCCTGAACCTTTTAATTTATATTTTTGCAATGTAAACAAGGAAAGTTTTACAATGCAATTTGTTCATAAAGGAATACCAACATTGTACGAAGATGATTTTCCATTACACGTTACTGAAAAGTCGTACTTAGACTTGTTTAACCCACAAGACATAGTGTATCTTACACCAAATGCTAAGCATACTTTACAGAAGTTTGATCCTACCAAGGTATACATAATTGGTGCAATAGTAGACAAGGTAAAACATTTAATCACTTATACATTAAAAATATAACTAATATTTCTATAATATTAGTGTATGATATGAACAATCTCTTGCAGAATAATATTTTATATTTATTAATATGAATTTTTCAGGGTACTAGCAAACCACTTTCACTATTATCAGCTAAACAAGCCCACGTTCAAGTGTACAGACTTCCTTTAAGTGAAAAAGTTGAATGGGGAAGTGGATCTGGAAAAACTCTACCTCTAAATCAAGTTCTTTCAATATTACTAGATCTGAGACATACAAATAGTTGGTCTAAAGCACTGGAACATGTTCCTAGAAGAAAATTGAAACAGCAAAGACTAGCATATATGCTAAAAAGAATAAATTCTAGGAAACATAGGTTACAGTCTATGAATCGTCATGTTGAAAATACAGAATATGATTAATTATATAATAATGCTTTATTTTTAATAAAATAGAAAGTTTAGTTAAATATTTTAAGCTAATATAAAATTTTGTTTCCTTGTTATATATTAATAAACAATAGCTTATTTTGTAATAAATTTAATACTATTGACACGTGTTGTATCAGGTGTTTAAGAAATGTTAATATTATTGTTA